AGAACGCCGTTTCACCACAGTGTGTCTTCCACCTCACAAGGGATGAGGCTTCACAATGCGCCAACAACGGGGCATCCAGGTACATATCTCATCCACAACTCCTCTCTTCCCAACGCCACAACCCAAATTCAGATCTTTCCCTGCCCATCCCGTATGATCGAAGACAAAAAGAGGCCAGATGTGCTACGGCACACATAGCCGCGGTAGCCTAGCTGGCGAGCAGGAATACTGGCGTGAAATCATGACTGGGGTTTCGTAGGCATTCTGAACCTCGCAGGTTCTAGTAGCTAAGCTACTCCACTTGTTCAGCCCTTCTTGGCGTAGGAAACCATGTTATCTTGATTCTTGGTATAGAAACGACACTTGGGAGTAGTTTTGACGGTGGTAATATGGCCCAATATTGATATCAATGGCTCTGTCTTGTCCAAGTCCCGGTTGGACATCGCTCCTCATTACTCGACAGCATGGCCGTTGAAACGGCGATCATGTTCGATAAGTTGGGATCTCAACGGCCTCGCAGATAAAACACCGAGCCCTCGATTGGGCATAAGAGTCAATGACAGGTAGTTGAATGCGCGTAGCCGCCTCATTCGTCCTGGGCAAGCCTTTCTCCGCCACCTGATACTTTCCATCAAAAACAGTTCGTAGTAAGGAGTAAAAAGCCTTACCTCAAGAGAATCAGACGGTCTGTTCATCTCATAACTTACACCACGGCAATGCTTTATATTTCACTGGCAGGAGCTTGTTCAAGTCTAGTTTGTACGTTTAATCAAAGCTTGTCAATTTTGCTCTCTGCCGTAGGTAAGTACTCGACTCCCATAACCATAGACTGCTAATTCGGCCAGGTGTCATCGATTAGAATGAGCTCTCACGTATAAGAGTAAACCTTCGGACTTCCTACTTTCCCTAAAGATGCTTCATACATTCATGTTGCGAAGCGCAAGTGTGAACCCCCAAGCCGTTGGTAGAATCAACGCAGCAAGGACTCAATTGGTTCAAAAATCACCGGGAATAAATGAAAAGCACATTTATTGACTGCCAAAGCTAGAATTTGATCTCTTGTCTCGCCGATACCTCGGTCTCATCAAGTACCTGGTGGCCTTCTCTCCTACGATTCTCTCGAAGACGTTTTCTTTCCTGGAAAATCCAAGCTCGCAAATACCACTCTGGGTAGACGCTGAAGAGGCATTGTTCATTTTCTGAACTGATGCAATCATGCCAACTACGAGAAGTCAGCCGCCATTAAGCTGCGGTCTGGGAACCTCGATTATAACATCCCAAGTGGGTAACACAATTGTTTGTCGCTACAGGTGCCCTACCAAGCTCTTCTATCATAATTCCTATTCCTATTCTTTTTAAAGAGTATTCCCAAACGAATATACAGAAAATGGAGATAGTAGAAATAATAGAAATGATAAAGATTATCAAGATAAAAAAAAAACAAGGAAATTATGTATTATGGGAATAATAATCAGGTAACTGAGTATTACAGTCCTTTGTTGGCTAGCATCCTATTTTGTCACCCACGTGCCTCTGTCCATGTCTTGAATTGCAGTCAAACTTGTCCTTAAACCTCATCTACCGATGGCGCAAATCAGCCTGCAGACGACTCTGGCTCATCCCCCTAGACCCAAGCTGCAATGGACTGCAAAGTCAAGGCCGGATGATAGGCTGTCCGGATATGATACCGGCGGCTGGAGAAAAGAGCAGCAACAGTAGAGTTGATGTATGCTCTCCCCTGTTTACCACTCCCAGTAGCAAAGTTTTGGCCTGCAGAATCTCGTTGGTGAGAACTGGACACAGATGGACAACCATCGACTCAGCTCTAGTATTTCGTCTCGTACATACCGCAGTCCAGAATTCGCTGCTTGAAATATGTAGAAACAGCCTTGACTGACGAAAAGAGCAGGCGAATCAATCATCCGGCTGTAAAGCCTCGTATGCTAGACGCCATCTTGTTCTTGACGATACGAAAGCAAGACATCATCCCTGGATGCCTGGGAGGCGTGCAAGTATGACCTGACATCACAAGCCTGGATCAATGGGAACGATAGCAACAACACATTAATTGTTAGAAACGAAAAAAAAAAAAAAACAATGTAAAAACTGTCCGCTTTAATACTAGATAGGTATCGCTGTACTCATGCACCGTCAAATGCAAAACCGCCGCCTTCCTGTGAACGCCAGATCCAATGAACGCCTCAAAGCAGACTTACTTCTTCGCCCTCCGCTTCACCTTCTTTTCAGGAACGCTGACGCTTCCTTCCGCGATTTCACCAGCCTCAATCTCACCCGCCTTCTCCATCTGTTGTAACTTTTCTTGCCCCGATATGAACATGGACAAATCTCTGTTCATTTCCTGCAGCTCCGTCACCTGTTCCTTGTAAGACGTCTCGCTCTTCTTCAGGGCCCCGAGCTCGGCTTTGTTGTGCTCCACACGCTTCATGAGTCCCTGTGTGACTTGCTTCTCCTCCTGGAGGGCTTTGCCCAGGTTGCGGGCAAGTTCCTGGGCCTTGGTGGCCTTTGCGCGGTCACGTTCTGCATCGCGCTCAAGTTGTGGTATGACTTGCGTTTGGAGACGTGTCAGCTCCGTCTTGAGGGTGGCGTTCTCTTCCAGAGCTGTGGTAGCTTGCGCTGATGCAGACTCGGCTATCGCGGCTGCTTTTGAGGCCTTGTCCGCCACTTTGCTGATCATCTCCTCAAAGTAGACCCGCTGTGACTCAAGCTGACTAGTCAGCAGATGAGTGTATTCCAAGCCGATGTTGTCCAGCTTTGCGCGGGGAACAGTATCTTCGTAGCCGCCTTCCGGTCCGTGGTGATGTCCGTTGCTGCCCGGGAGCTCCACTACCTTACCGTCACCCTTATCACGGATCAAACGATGTACCCATGTATCCCCAGCGTAGTCCCACACATGCTGTGTCTCCAGCTCTAGGGAGAAGCTATGCGCCGTCTCTTTCCAGTGGTCCTTGGCATGGCCACCCTTATATCGACCGCACCCAACATTTCCGCAAATAAGGCAGATCCATAGGTCATCGGTGGAATCGCAAACGCTGCACAAATTCGATACCGAAGTGCCAAAGGGTTGTGTGTATGGGTTCGACGGATCGTATGCGGTTTCGGGATTCGTGTGTCGGCAGACTGGACATCCTGAGCCTTTCCAGTTTTGCAGGCAGGTACAGTGAAACACGTGCTGGCAGGGAATCGTCATGAGACCTGTCGTATCGTCCATGCGCTCGAGACACACGGGGCAAGTAGGTAGTTCGATGAGATTCGGGGTCGGCGGAGGGAAAGGCCTGAGACTGTTGGAAGCGACGACGGAAGAAGAGGAAGTCGTGAAGGGATCGTGGTTGAGGTCGGGAAATGTCCTATTTTCTCGAGTCGGTGTCTCAAAGGTGATCGATTTGACAAAGACAACATGGCAAACTTGCGCCTACAGAAGAGTCAGTTAGACGGCCGCGTCAGGGATTGCAGTTGGCCACTCACCTCCATGCTGTTGAAGACCTTTCCGTCGAACTCCTTCTGCCACGCTCGCGCCTTCTCGCTGTTTCCAAACTTGAGGAGCACTAAATACCGATTCATCCTAGCAGTCATGACCATTCGCCAGTGACTGATGTCATTCCTCCACTTCTCCCCGACATATCCAATGAAGTCGCCCGGGCTGAGGTAACTGGGAACCGCGGGTATGCAAAGCGTCGTGCAGTCTTCTGCCTCGACGTCGTCTCCTTCTGAAGGCGGCAGTCCCAAGGCAGGTGTTTCTTCCTCGTCGCGGTAGAAATGTACTACTCCCCAGCCTACTTGCGTACTCTTTGTGTCTAGCGGGACATACTTCGCCTTCGTGGAGATGCCGGCGCCGCCAAATGTTGGACCGACGCCTAGGTCTGCCCCAGAGCTCACTGCCTCGGCCGCCATTTGATCTGTATGCTCGTCACTTTCTGACTCGATGTCGATGCTCTCGATGCTGACTTGACCAAAGCGCCAGTCCTTGACTGCCGTCTCTGGTCTGATCGCTGCCGAAGAAGGCGGAGGTGGAAAGCTCTGCGTACGAGCTCTCCACTGCCTCTCGGTTATCCTCTCAATGTTACTGCCACTATCTTCCTTGATCGGAGCTCTGGAAGGTCCGCAGTCGATGAGGCTCGGGTTCGAAGTAGTTTCTGATGCTCGTTGTGTGCTCGATCGATAGGTATCGGCGGGGTAGGGTGGTTCGAAGGCTTGTAGTGGTGAAGGTTGCGGTCGAAAGCTCGTACTCGGCCTCGTCGAACTTTTCCTGGAATGCGCGGGAAGTTCAGCGAAGATGTTAGCGCCTTTCGGCGGAAGCCACACGTCTTTACTGAGAGCTTCTTCCTGCTGTTTCCCTTTGACGGCTTTGGTGTCGGCGAGTGCGGGGCTTGAAGTTGGATAAAGCTCGAACTTGAGGTGATAGAAGAAGGTCCGCATAGCCCTTCTCAGCCTCGCAGGCTGCCGCGAGACTATGCTGGTCGATTTTGGGAGGTGCAAGTGTTCCGCGGCTAGTATCAAAGGCCCCTGACTATGGAGGCAATAGGAAGTGAGTTTCCAAGTGTTTCCAGGACTTCCATGGGCTGTTCATGTCGCGGCGCAACTCACGGAAGCAGGCAGGATAATTGTGTTGTGGGGAAGATTTCAATCGTTTAGGTGCGAGGTTCGAGGTGCTGTAAGAGCACCCCACCGCCCCACCGTTACGGACCTCGCTCCACCAGGTAGGTAGGTAAGTACGTCACTGATAAGCGATAGATGGGTCAACCTCCATATCTTACAATGACATTCACACCACAACGAAGGGTACAGCAGAAGTGTCACGGCCAAGCAATGCAAGGTGGTTGAGACTTCAATAGAGTCTAATATTGACGCTTTCATGAGCGTATGAGTGCCTAGCTAATTTCTAGGAATGTGAAGATATCATTCGGAACCGTTGTCCCACCGTAATCGTAATCCATTAACGCCATGCCTCGCCCGAGGCAACTTTCCCATCGCTAACCCGTCGCTTATTGGCCGCCACGAAGACGGAGGACGAGATGCAGGGTTGACTCCTTCTGGATGTTATAGTCGCTCAGGGTACGACCGTCTTCCAACTGCTTTCCAGCGAAGATAAGACGCTGCTGGTCGGGAGGAATACCCTCCTTATCCTGAATCTTGGACTTCACGTTATCAATCGTGTCAGATGACTCGACTTCCAACGTAATCGTCTTGCCAGTCAACGTCTTGACGAAGATCTGCATACCACCACGCAGACGCAGGACGAGATGCAGGGTTGACTCCTTCTGAATGTTGTAGTCCGACAAAGTGCGACCATCCTCAAGCTGCTTTCCGGCGAAGATCAAGCGCTGCTGGTCGGGAGGAATACCCTCCTTGTCTTGGATCTTCGACTTAACGTTGTCAATGGTGTCTGAAGATTCAACCTCGAGCGTAATCGTCTTGCCAGTAAGAGTTTTGACGAAAATCTGCATACCACCGCGAAGACGAAGGACCAAGTGGAGGGTAGACTCCTTCTGAATGTTGTAGTCGGAGAGGGTGCGGCCGTCCTCAAGTTGCTTGCCAGCAAAGATCAAACGCTGCTGGTCAGGGGGAATGCCCTCCTTATCCTGAATCTTCGACTTGACATTGTCGATAGTATCAGAAGACTCGACCTCGAGAGTGATGGTCTTGCCAGTGAGCGTCTTGACGACTGCGGAGTGGGGTTAGCTAGGTGTGATTGGAGGCAAAATTGATGTAGAGTAACTTACAGATCTGCATACCACCACGAAGGCGGAGAACCAAGTGAAGGGTAGACTCCTTCTGGATGTTGTAATCGGAAAGGGTGCGGCCGTCCTCAAGCTGCTTGCCAGCGAAAATGAGACGCTGCTGGTCGGGGGGAATACCCTCCTTGTCCTGAATCTTGGACTTGACGTTGTCGATGGTATCGGAGGACTCGACCTCGAGGGTGATGGTCTTGCCGGTGACTGAGGAAGGATGTCAGCTATTGATGGGGATGACTCCTGGATGCCTGAATGACTTACGGGTCTTGACGAAGATCTGCATGATGGCGACTTCGATGGAATCTGATGTGTGGTGTTGTTCTTTGGTATTCCTCAATGTAGTTGCTTGTGATCGAGTAATCGCTGATGAGAGGTTCGTCGAGCGAGAGTATTGTGTAGTAGATGTGATGGAGAAGAAGAGGAGGGAAGTAGGATGAAGAGGTGAAGTGGCTTAAATACCGGAAGGCAACCAAGGTGTCAGAGAGATGCGGCCTGTCTGAAAGCGGGAAGGAAGGACCTGGAGCCAAGTTGAGTGGTGGTGCCTTCCTGGGTGCACTGGTGAGTGGTGACTGACTGGCCGCGGAAGGCAAGGAAGGCAGGGAAGGAGGGGTCTGATTGGAGGCGCAGGTGCAAGAGAGTGGGGCAGGTTATGCAGTGAGTGGCACTGAGTGCCTTCTTTCTCAGTTCTGAGTGCCTTGTCTGGGGGAATGGCGAATGATTCATCAGCAACTGCGCAAGTGCCACAAGGCGCTAAAGTAGGCAGGAGCAAGCCGGAACCCTCCAGAACCAAGTGGGGTTTTCTGAGGAAGTCGTACATCTACCTTCAAGCTCATACACAGTTCACTCTTCAAAGAGGTAGAAGAACCTTTCCCTTGGTCCTTATCGCCTGTTTCCTGACCACGAACCTGGGAAGGCTGGAACCCAGACTGCTGTGCCTGATGTCTCAGTTGCGACTTGCGCTGGAAGGTTGGCCACTCGTCGCCGCCGCTTCTTTGATCAGATGGTCTCGTTCATGCCGCCCCTGCGCAGTAGTCCCAAGGCCCAAACACACGCAAAAAAAACAAAAAAAAAACAAAAAAAAAAAACAGCAAGGTGGAAGATCCGATCTGGCATACCCATCAGAGTGTCTGCTTCTACAAGATTTCGAGATCTCTGCCTTAGTTTTGGTGAAGCTGCAAGACGACTCATCTTTGCATAGGAAAACACTCCACGGCTTCGATACCGCTAGTCTCCCGCAGCGTCTCGAAAATGTCACTGATGAACTGATGGGTCGCAAGAGGCCCACCGCCAATCCCTGTACCTACTCCGCCTCTTCCCAGGCGTCCTCACTTCACCTCTGTTTACCACGTCCAACACAACCGGGAACAATCGTCACCGCCGACGACAGACACTGGGGCTGAAGACTTCGCCGAGCGCATCCTTTGGGATGCCCACGATGCTAGCTGCCGGTAGACTCGATACTTCCATATCGAAACCGAGCAGGCTGGCAAGGCTGGCTTCGGTTTGACACCTTTGACTGGAATCCGTTGTGTCTCACCTGCGCTTGACGGATTCCACGGGCGCCAGCCAAAAGTCAAGCGTAAAGACCGAAGAGCAAAAAGGGTCAGAAACAAGTCCGACCCGGCCTTGACTGTCACTGACAATCAAGCGCCCCACCCGCCACCCGGATAGGCAGACCGTAGCGGCCAGGAAACAAACCCAACTTGAGTCCTCGACCACTCAACACGCACTCAGACTCTCCGTCTCACTCAAGCAAGCAGTCGGCAGCGAACATGAGAATCGCCACCTCCAGAGCCTCTTGGTCAATCTTTGCCCCGTCCGAATCGCTCGCTTGCTAATCCCGTCGCCCCCATACAAAGCTTTTCTCAACCTCATCCTAAGCCTCCACGATGCCTTCCTTTCGACATGCCCGGCTTCTTGTTGTTGTTGTTGTTGTTGTTGTTGAATGTCGCCGACCACTCTTCACCCAACAACAACAACAGAATCAAACACTAAAGTGCGGAGAAGGACCGGCGAGACCGGGGTGGCAGGTGAAATGAGCCGACGTCATCCCAAAGGCCATTGCACCCCAAACCTCTCCCGAACCCTGATTTTACGAACCACCGCCCGAATCAGACAGACAGACAGACAGACAGTTTGCCAATACTCCAGGCCAAAGCAGAGAAAAATTATACGGATCCCAGTTCGGCGTCTCCAGACAGACAACTAACTCATTGAAAAAGTCGTCTTCAGCATGACCAGAAGAATGCGAACCTCCGCATCATCCTCCGAAGCGACGCTTTCGTCAGCCGAGGAATGAAGCGATGGCGACATCGGTCTTTGCTCGCTCGTTGCTCGGGCCTTATCGCGACATCCGTTCACGCGCTCTCCTTCCAAGGGGCCAAAAGGCGACGTTTCGCCCACACGAGCGAGACACACATACACACCCGCGCCCGGCACTGCCCCCGTTCAATACCTAATAGACAATGGTACAACCCGACCACGTTGGCTGCACTTTTCCTCTACAGCACAAATACCACCACCACCACCACCATAAACATCCTTGCCCCTCCAGCCACTCTTCTTATTGGTTCGGGCGAAACCGTACCAAAGGCCTAAGAGTGCCCTCTATTCCCCATTTGCTGCGATAAGGCCCTTCTTCCCCTCTTTGACCCTGCTTTAAGCCCATCCCGCAGAGGTTCGTCCCCCAGACTAACTAGATCACGTTGCTCTAATCTGATGTGGTTCACCACGTTGTGGGCTGCACGCCGCGGCTTGCATGCTGTCTCATCTGACCCTCATCTTTCCCCTGCCTTATCTCAAAGATATCCGTACCGGCGTGTCCGCATATCACCTGGGATGAAAGCTTCACTTCTAGACACGGTTTAACGAATTGCATCTAAACTCATTGTGTGAAGGGCGCGAAACAAACAATCTCGATATATCGATTTTGACCCAAGTTAACTACAACAGCGTAAAATGCCGATATCGGCCAATTGTGCCTCTCCAATTCTCTGCGTGAAGGTTTTTTTGCAAATGGGCCCTTCCAACGCCCAGAAATTCCAATGCATATCATAATCGTCTATGCTTGCTATGCTCTGTCATTTGCCTGTCGTGCCGGCATGATCGTCTCCATGAACGTCCCTGGCGCATGTCGCGTCTCTCTTTGCCGCAGCGCAGCCCTTCTTGACTGCGCTCGACTCCAGACCACCAACCCCGTTAAGCTTCGAGTCATACATTCGTAATTTGAATCATGATAAAAGGTCGTAACACATCGCGATGAATCGTCGTGGTGGGGAGGTGACCAGCCGAAAAGAAGTGAAGTGAAGAGGTGGGATAGAGATCTTGTGGTGTGTGGTGGTGTGTGTGGTGTCTCGTTCAACGCCGTCGCTGTGACTCGAAATAACAAAAGAGATGCCAACCAAGATGGCCCACCCAGGGGCTTTTCAAAAATCATAATCTCAAGAAGGAAAAAGTATGGCAGCAATAATAATAGCACAGTAGAGGACAATCAGTTGGCGCGGATAACGAGCTTTGACAAGAACTTGTTCGACAAGCAGTCGAAGTCGTTACGGTCAAAGCTAGCGTCGGGACGAGTACGCAGGTATGCCTCTGTTCGGACTATTAGCAGTCTGCAGATAGAATGAGCAGAATTAATGAGAACTCACCGTGCTTGATGACATGCTGACGGACTTCGGTCATAGCCTCACAGACAGCGACGTTGTTGTTCAGGAGGTGGCCGTGCTTGGCGGTGTCCCAGTCCATAAAGGCAGGGAGCTTCTGGGAGATGGCGTGGAAGAGGCCAACAATGACACCAACAGGGGTGGTCTCCATATCATTGCAGAACTTGTTGACAGCAGCCGGGTCGGGGACACGGTAGTGGCAGTCGAACTGCATCTCCTCCCAGACAGCGAGGAGAATGGAAGCCAGCATGAAGATGGTGGGCCAGTTCTTGAGACGCTCGCCGCTGTAGACACTGGAGTACAGAGCAGACAGCTCCTCGAGGATCTCCTTCTGAAGCTCACGCCACATGTCGGCCATGGCACACTTGATCTGGAAGTTGATCATGACGGGAGCAACGGTCTTGCCGTAGTACTTGGAGTCCTCATCATCGATCTGGCCATCAAGTTGAACATCCTCACCTTGGCTCTCGACCATGGTGATGTGCAGGGTGAGGTTGTAGGCGAGGACGAGCTTCAGAGCCTTGCGGATGACAGGCATACGCTCCTTGACGTAGTAGCGGTGAGCAGTCTTGAGGATCTCGGTGATAAAGGGTGTGCCCTCAAAGTGGTCCTCAATGAAGTCCTCGAAGCCTCCATCAATGTGCTTGTCAAGGTAGTCGGACAGAGCCTCAACGGAAACGCCCTTGGCACCGACATCGAGTCTCTCAGTGCGGATGTCAAAGTCGATGGGCTCCTGGTCGGTCAAGCAGGACTCAACCCAGTCAACCTGGAAGCAGCTCTCATCGGCCACGTAGACCTCGCGGACGTAGACGGGGAGGGCAAAGCCATAGCCGTGAGTGATCCACATGACAGTCTCGTTCTGAGCAAAGCCCTTGACGTTGTAGACTGAGACACCACGTCCAAGGTGGCGCTCATAGTCGGCCTTCCAGTCCTTCATGAAGTAGCCAATGTCCTTGATGTCAATACGAGTGCAAGGAACCTGCCACAGGCGGGCATGAGACGGCTGGCAACCAGCACAAGGCTCACCCTTGTCACAGGTCTTCTTCAAGAACTTGCAACGCAGGCAGGCACGAAGCTTTCTAATCTCACTCGCCTGCTTGCGCTGCTCGGGTAGAAGAGGGCCCTTTCTGCGGCCAACCTTCTTGACCTCGGTGCCATCCTTCTTGCCGGTTGAAGTGCGGCGAATGACGGCCTTGGTGGCCTTGCCGGTAACGGGGCTGCGTCTCTGGCCCGAGTTTCTCCGGGCGGTGGTGAGGATGGGGGGAGATGTGGCGCCGGAGCCGCTGGCGGGAGTTGGCCGGGTCGGAGTGGTCGTCTTGATGGGCATGGGAGCAACGGCAGCTGCAGGACTGACTGTGTCGTGGTTGTGAACGTGGGCATGAGTGTGTGCGTGAGCGTGGCTGTGAGTATGAGCATGGTTGTGGTTGTCTCCGAAGCAATTGCGGTGAGATCCGGCATCGACGTATCCATCAGACTCGGGGGAGAAGGGAGAGATGGGGAAAGGAGCAATCTCCTCATAGCTGCCAAGTTCAAATGAATTGGCGCCGTCCGACGAATCCGAGTTGGTTCTCAAGTGAAGCGTCTGGCTGGGGTTGAAGATTGCCGCATTGGGCTGTGCCTGTTGAAAGTGGTCGAATCCTGCTCCGGAACCCTGCTCAACGACCATTGACCACCCCTCTCCATTGCCGGTGCTCGGCAGGGACAGGACCTCGAGGAAGGTCCCCGTGGGCGAATTGCTGCCGATGCTATGTGACAGACCGTCGATTTGCAATGCTGAGGCAGCGGCCTGGATATCGTGCCAGCTCTCCATTCCCATGCTCCAATTCATAGCCGGAACAGTGTCGTCCATGGGAGGCATCGTGTTGAAGGCGGATGCGAGTTGAAAGTTTGCGGCCTGCAGCGCCTGGGTCGTGGCGGGGAGAAAGTCGATGGGATTTGTCTGGAAGCCCGGGGCATATGGGTTGTATGTTACGGGCATGTAGGCGTCGGAGACATATTGGGAATAATCGGGCAATCCATGAGGGGCCTGTTGTTGCTGATGCTGATGTTGTTGCAGGGCCCAGTCGGTCAATGAGTTGACGGGTTGTTGATATGGTGAATGATGCGAGTGCTGGCTCAAAGGTGAGGAGCTATGTGAAGGCGAGTGGGCTTGTTGGTCCTCGGGAGGACTCGAGGCTGCGACATTGGAGGTCATATCCAAGGGAATGGGCCAGATCCTCTGAGCGGGCATGTTGGTGACGCTCTGGGGGCTGTTCTGGGATGAGGGGATTTGCGAGGCATAGGAAAACCGGTCCCGCTGGTCGAAGGAGGAGAGGTCCAAGAGGGCGTCGCCTCCACTCGTATCGAAGTTGACGTTCATGTTGGGTAAGATCAGTCGTGGAAAAAGGACCAACAACGGATAGGTGTAAGTCGAGAAAGGGGAGTTTGAGCAGAGATATGGCCTTTTTCCCCAGGACACCGCTCTTTCGTCGGGGTGGTGGTGAAGTGGATGAGGGGAGCAAGAGACCTTCTTCGCAGCGGCGACAAAGGTTTTGGGGGGAAGACGAGGTGGGTAGGAAGAGATTCGGGTGGTGAGAAGGGCGAGAGACTTGGTCGGGGGCCCCAAAAGCGGGCATGCGTGGGTGAAGAGGAACGACGACGAGCCCGCGAAAGAAGCGGTGAGAGATGCAGTTGAACCTCCAGCCCCGGCCGGGAGCAGGAGCCAATGAACGGGGCCACAGCTCCTTCTGCAGCTGCACGAGTGTGGAGCGGAGACGACCGGGGGGTGTCGCTCCAAAGTTGCGCCAGTGGGAAGGAGGTGGGAGGGTTGGGTGGTGGGTGGTGGGTGGATTGCACTTGTACGCTTGCACTTGCACTTGCACTGAGGTGGACTGGACTGGACTGGACTGGTAAGAACTGGCAAGAGGACGGGAGGAAGCTGATACTTTCTGGATGGGAAAGAACTGGACCGGTACCTACCTACCTTACCATAGTAGGCCATTGAACCATTGGACCATTGGACCCATCATCCATGAAAGTGGGGTGGGCGGCTGCTCACGAGGACCACTTTGTAACTCGACTCCATCCAATCACCCCAGCCGCCTCCGTGTGGGTGAGACTGTACATCATCCTCCTCGACACTGTATTTTTGCAGGCTGGGCCAAAGGGTTGACGGGCACGTCTGCTGCACGTCTGGTAAGGTACTGTGGGATGAGCGGGTTGTAAAACATGTCGCTAAACATCTTCTTTTTTTCCCTGGCTGGAGCCTCTCTCTCTCCAGCTGCCTCCATCTGCCTCTGGGCTCTTTCTGCCCCCCATCATACCTATCAGGTACTGCTGCAAACCCTGTCCATGGCGAATGGCTGGAAATCGATATTGGAAAGCGAGACGTGGTTGTGGCTCTGGCCAGGTACGTACCTTGAGGGTCGGACGTCTTTTCTGGACGGGACGGGATTTGGAGGCTTGGAGCTGCCATCCTCGCACCCACGCCATCTGCCATCCGCAGTGGTACGTATCGCGTTACCTATCGCAGCCTCCATCGATCAGTACGTACCGGATCCACCCTGGGAGCGTTAATGGAAACGTTCTTTTCCGCCTTTGGCGACATCGCTGAACCCGCCCGCCCAACCGCCCGCCTCACCTCACGGCCCTCACCTTACCTCGCTCCAGTTTGCCGTGAAGTGTCCTCCACCTCACCTTCACCATGTCCTGCCTGCCACCACGTAACCAAGTAACGTACCGACCAGCGAGCGTACAGAGGTACCAATGTCACTTTTCCTCTCAACGCCAGATCATGCCGTCCGTCTTCTCTCTCTACTGTGTAGACTCTCACGAATCATGAGGCCCGCGTCGGATTCCTTTACTCCCGTCACCCATTGTGGCTTCTTGCCTCTCTCTTCTCTGTCTACGGCGCAGTCACACACCCACCATCTTTTCTGTCGTCTCTGGCGCTACGGATATCGTGGTCATACCTGACCGAGAGCCCACATTCCAGAGCTCTCCTCGTGCCTACAGCAAAGTGGCCGACGAGGCCATACTTTAAAACATCAGGTTCCGGATGATGACTTAGTGCCGCCCCCAGGGTCATCTTTCTCTTCGGATGATTCCTCAACAGCGTCAAACGCGACTGACCCCAAGATTGCCTCGAGGCTTCAACCCTGAGCCTTGAGGAACCCGATACCAGGGCAGAGCTCGGGCTCGAGGCTCGACCTAGAACCAGAGCTGGCTGGCCATCGGCACTTGCAGGACCCAAACCACAAGCAAGCCAGGCCAGGCAGGCTGCGTCCTAACAAGCAGGCTCGCCTAGCCTCTAGGTGCAACTCGTGGTGCTCCCACAGACCTTGAGCTGCCAGAGACGACCTGGACGCATCTCGCCTCTCGCTTGACGCTGCTGCAGCCGCCACCACCGGCCGCCTCTAGCGTCTCCCATCAAGCACGTCCAGCGTCAGCTATCAATCCCTCCTCAAAAAAAACATAGGACGAGCCTGGACGGCAACACTGACAGGGTCATCCCAATCAGTCATCAGCCGTGCAAACTTACACTTAGACCTAGCGGGCTGCCCCGAGGCATTCGTCCGTTCCTCGCGACACCATGAGCTACGGAGGCCACGGACGTTGACCGGCTGCTGGCCAAGGCTCCATTGATCAGCATTCGACTGTGCTTCCCGTCCTCACACAATCACAGTGGCATCACCTGTGACCTGTGTGGCTTGTACGGACACAGTCAATGGCTGATGCGTCTGCAGTGCAACAGTCACGACGTGTCCAGGCAGTGGGGGAAACACCAAAATGGACAGCGCACCCTGCACAGTGCAATAAGACTTGACAAAGGACGACGCCCATGGCTCTCTCTCTCTCTCTCTCTCTCTCTGACCCTCTGGGGAACGATCAGCTCACGGTATTGGATCGGCTGCTGTCAACAGGCAACTCTATCTGCACCTCGCGTCAACGGCACGTTGGCCCTCATTTCGGCCCTCCTATCTGTCTTGTCATCTTCCGTCAGGGTCCCGTTCGCTTCATCGCCCTTCACCCAAGAGTGGAATGATCCTCCACCCGGCCAACCGACGATGCTGTGGAAATGCCACTGTTGCCGCCTTGTTTCTACAAGCGGCAACGCCGAACAGATAATTCCAAGGTGGAAGTCGCCCGCTGGTAGCCACCGTAGCCTCGGTCGATAAAACTTAATGAGCCCTTGGCCGCGATGAAAACCTGGCTTTCTCGACCCTTACCATGATGCCAAGTCCACAATGGGCTGGGGTAGAGTCAGGGCCACCACTCTCACCACTGACCAGACCCTTCGGAGTTTTCAAGCCGCCCCCTACCACCGCAGTTAGAGCCCCACGAGCCAGGACCAGAGCAGCCATTGATAAGTCGCCTGTTGCGCAAGGTTTCGATCGCAAGTTGCCGCAGATCTGCCATGGTACATTAGCAAACGCAAGGATGAAAATCTTCTCGTACGGGCTCCAGTCGATAACTGAGCCAGTGCCCAGACACCTGCAGCTAGCGTGGTACTCTATGCGAGTTGGTTGATGGCGAGAACAGACTATTCGTAGCTGCGACGTCGCTTTTTACGCCTGGATAGGCACCGAGCTGCTAACAACAGTCGGCTCAACAAAACCAAACGAGCTATCGCAGATTCGCACGCCAGGCGAAGCCCCTCGTCCGATGGATTGCATCTTCGCTACAAACAGTACAGACCCCGCTACGAACTGCAGATAGACAAAGCCACCATTGGCAATGGCCGACTTTGCCAGGCACGACAGGGCCTGGGGCCCTGGGCTTCTGGCGCAGAACGACCTGATGTTCCCGATGCTCCTCTCTCCCCACAAGCGTGGAGACTACCTGCGTCCGGATTGTCTTCTTGCAGACCCCGCCACGGCCGGGCCCTGAGCCTCGAGGGGCTCTTCTGCATTGCTGTTGGCTGTATCGGCATTCCGAGGCTCCAAGGTCGCCCAGAGCTATTCGTATCTCGGATGGATATCGACTGTCGTCGATGCCGATTGCGTAGGCAAAGCCGGACTACGGTGCGCGATGCTGCCAATGTTCACGATGGACGGGTCATACGGCACAGTGGAGAATATCTCGCGGAAATAGTTTCTTCCTGGCGGATCGCTGAATCGTGTGCCAATGATCCGACGGCCTGCTGTCACGGTTATTACCCTCCCGGTGGTTGGTTGAACATCCAATCACAGTACAAGGCGAATCGCGGAGTGCTGGTGCAAAGACCATTGCGAGGCTTCAGCAAATCTGCCTCCTCTAGCTCGAACAATGAGGAGGGGCAATGGGTGCACAGCCCTCAATCTGTCAAACGAACCAGTTGCAGATGACGAAACAAGTCGCAGTACAGGGTTCAGGCATGTTCATCGAGGAGCCGAGCTTGACGCGGTACGGCCAGCGGCCAGCAACGACTTAACACGACGAGTTATTCCCCACCCGTATCACGGATAATGTCTGGAGGTGCGTCGCTATATTGGAAGGTTGCTGCGAACCAAGGTATATCCCGACTCCGAAAGGCAACCCATTATCTCCTGCTTCGACCGACCGATCAACGTCGCAAGCGGGAGTCCCTCTTAGCTCTTCATTGCCGCGAACGCACGTCTCTCCAATTGGCTTTGCCTGCAAATAAGGCACATCAGATCTGCGTCAGTTCCCCGATCGATGTCGCTTGTTCCCAGTACATCCGTTCACGGCCATGGCCAGACCCTGCACACGCCAATTTCTCTATCAAAAAGACGCCAGACTCCAGACATCTCAGTCCGTAGTTGGCCCAACATGCCCACTCCGAAAGGCACCGTCTCTGATGGCGAGTTGTTCCACTTGCCTCTTCTCGGATACCTGCATTCATGGCATAACGTATTGCACATCATCTCGCATACTATACCTCTGACCATTCATGTTTCTCCAGTTATGAGCCTCCTCTACGGAATGCCATGAAGCCGCCGGACCCCACACGGACCGGACATTTGATGAGTCTCTAGACAGTCACGGGCACGAGGGGCACGAAGCATATATCCGCCGAAGCCGACGTTGTACGAAGCTTTGAGTTCGATACTACGAAGCCGTTTGTCTCGTTTGAGATGCGAACCTCGTGCCAGAGTGAATCAGTCCCATACTAACATGCCAGCCAAATTCGACCGACACTGAGCGGAGCAGCAAGAGGCCAACGAATTGTCTGGCCGCAATGCGGGCGAGAGTCATTTTCCCCACGATCATTGGTGCAGCTCAAGGGGAACCGGCAAGGGGCTGCTCAGGCACAGTTGTGTCTCCCCGCCATCCCCCATGCCTATTGTACGGCAAAAGAAACCTGCTGCAAGCCATCCCCTGGATTTCGAATGTGCGGTGTGAGATTCCCCTCTGAAAGAAAACGCCTTGGTAGGGCCGTCAACCAATCATGCCGCATCCCATGTTGGCCGTTGGCGGGATTCGCCCGAGGACTCTCTATGCCTACCGACTATCTTCCTTGCATTACGTGATGCGAGTAATGCTTCTGGACCGTTAAGAGAGACAGGAGGCTAGTCGAGACTCGTGGCTGTCATCTCAAAGCATTGGCTCGAAATCAGTTGGGTTGGTACCTAACAATCGACGAAGGCTGGTCCGGGTGAACGGTCTTGATTGATTTGGTCGGGACTCGAGTTGATACTTGGTCAAGCCAAAGGTGAGACGCAAACCCTCAATTGATTGAAGATGGGGCCAATTGAGGGTCGCTGACCCCTCCTCAACCCCTCCTCCGTCGGACGCGGGGCACGGAACTCTCTCCCAAGCCCTGCCCAACTTACGACTGCAATTCGTCTCTCTGACAACCAATTTGACGGACTCACGATGATGCTAGTTTTCACTGGAACTTGGCGACAGAGATGTCGATGCCAATGCCTGGCATCGAAGGTCGTTCCTAGTCGAACTCAGCCCGAGGTCTGATCACTGGATGGCCTCAAAGCTATCGCGGCGCCATCCGCCTCTAGTGAGGGTGCTCGGATCTCTCAAGATCTTGACCGCTTGTTACCCCCTCAAGTGGTGTGTGGTCCAAGCTGCGCAGCCATCTCAAAGGGATTCAAGAATGCCACCATTCCATTCAGAAACGGACCAAAATACCCAGTGTGGTGGGGTTTTTTTTTTTTTTTTTTTTTTTTTTTGGAAGGCATTTTGCAAGGTCTATTCTCCGCGCAGCTGGAATGCTGCTGAAGATAATTTGCATATCTTTCCTTCAGGATTCTTGACACATGAACGTCTGTCTGCTTCCTTGGACATGCAGGGACGCACAGCGCTGCGCTGGCTCCAATGGTAATCCCAGGCGCTATTGACCGCTCTCTCTCTTTTGCACTATACACTATGCGGAAAAACTTGTATGCCGCAGGTAGTGTGAGTGGGCAGGCTTGTAACTAGTCACACCATCAAGGCAGCTATTATTTGTCTGCTCGGTGCTAATTGAATTGCAATTGACTCGGGATTTTTCCACACTTGTGTGCTGTCATGAAACTGAGAGAAATGGATGTTGCGTCATTCTCATACGGCACTATACGCTTCCAATTCATTCCAGGGAAAATAAGCCCGAGAGGCCCGGTGATGTGATCCAGGCAACCCGAGAAATGTTGGTTGGGCTTGTGATGAGTCAACTTCGTGAAGCCTCTGCGGACCTGGATAGCTCTCGATGCCCATGTTGGACATGACTGGATGACCTGAGCTATGGGCGTCATACTCATGGTGGTACATTGAGTCGGGCATGATGGCTAGTAGACGTACCTGTTGCTTTGCCAGTCTAGAGCGTTGAGTTTCATTTGATTTCGTGACTCTGATGCTGTTATCCGTAATTGAGTCACTTGTTCGTCTTTTGAAGAGTTTACTTTTTCATTTTCGTATCCGCAGGTCCTATTGTTTTCTTAATCTTGGCTTCGTTAGTCTTTGAAGATGGCTGTGGCATCATCGCAGGTTACTCGGCTTGTCAATGTTGCTTCATTACCCGAATCACCAGATCGAGAGCCAACTTAAGCCATCATCATTGTTCTGAAAAGGCTACAAAGCATACAGTTATCTTATTTATCTTTCTCGGGCTCTCTCGATTATGGCTCGTGTTTCATTCTCCCGTTCCTCCAGTCCAGTCCAGTCGGCCCGGGTTTGGATTAGATGTTCTCTCGTAAAGTCACTTCGCCGAAGCTCTATACACCCGAGAGCATATGTACAACACAGAATGACATTTGCGAGAACGACTTCATCAGGCACTTAGCTCAGGTGCTATTTGTGCTATGAAACCGCTGGATGTCGTATATAAATAGACGTCGTTGTCGGATTTGAGGTTCGTGGCGAAGATAGTTTTCCTGGCCCGAGCGGGCGATCGGATGAAGTAGAGTTGCCGCTTTGCAGACGTCTGTTTAGGCTGTAGGAAACTTTAATCTTTCATTAACAGTGTCTTTACCGTGCTTTCCGCAGACTGCCTAATCTGTGAGGTCTGATATTTTGTAAGATAATTTTAGATTGATGGTTGTTGGTTCATCGTGCTTTGCTCGGGACAGACGGTTTGAAGAGTCTGGCCACATTGCTATGGAGACCTTGGCTTTGGAAATATGAAGAGCATATCCCACGCAAGCATTCGGTTCGAAATAGCTCTATAATAGTCCCAAGATGAGACAGAATATTGACTGAGGCAGATCCTGTGACATGAGTCTGACACGGGCGATGGATCATCACTTTGGTCCTTTGATCCATGAAGGGACGGCCCTGAAGAGTGACTTGCAAACCCCGGGCACAATTGCTCAAGCACACCCTAAAGACTAGCCGTGAGAATCACTGAGCTCAGTGTAATATTTCAAAGCCATGGAATCAAAAGTCGTTCTCATCACTGAGAAAACAATCAAATTCTACGTGAAATTAGCAATCGGTCTAACGAGGGTTTCAGCTGTTGCGCCTGTCTCTTCGAATTTGTCCATGCCTCGACGTTAACAAACTTCAACGAAGAGCCTTTAGGTCTATCAGTGTCGATTAATCTACAGCATGGACCTTTAGTTCAAAGCTGGCGCTCTACGGAGTCTGCTGGACATTGATGCTCTTGGCTATTGACTGACCCAAGCCCAACATTGCATCTATACCAGTAGGTAAACCACAAGCCAAAGTTAGAACCTTCACCAGACAGATTATGCCATATTATTTCAGACTGCACCTATTACCGACCTTGGTGAGGCCCTGATCACATTCTAATGGCCTCCTTGATTGCCTTAGAAACTCAGTATTGAAGCTATGGGTAAGGCGTTGTCTCAGCATTTCATACGACGGCTGTTAGGACGGTTCACCCGATCGAAACCGATTGAGAGACTTCGAGATACCAAAAAAAAGGCATAGTTTGTTGCAAGGGATTTAGAAATGCTAGCTAATCTAGACCCCGATCAATGATATTCAATAGCTTTGAACCAGGCTACCGCGAGAGCCAAGTGACTCACACATTCTATCAAAAGGCCAGAAACAGCCTGTATTTTTAACAAAGTTGTTTATGTTTTCATTAAAAGTGAGAGTCTTGAACTCGTGTTGCTCTAATGTAATGTTGAAGAGCATGCAGGTGGTGACGGAATTGGGTGCTAGTCAACATGTAAATCCCCCCTCCTCACAGCCACTACGTTCATCATCATCGCCTTGCTACTCTTTTCAAGTACTTTATTACATGGCACTCAGTACCCCATAACTAAGTTTGACTGAAAAACATTACCAGTAACACTAGAGATAGGAGGAGTGGTAAAACAAAGGTGAGGCATTGAGTGACAGGCCACCCTAATGAACACAAGTAGTCCCTGTCAATGTCGATTGCTGAGCCCATAGGGCTCTGACACTGGAGAATACGGTATTTGGTCAAGATTCAAGGCAAGAAAATTAGATGATATGTCTGAGAATGTACAGGTCTTGATGTTGCGCTTAGGAAAGTCTACGTTGAAAGTCTAATGGACATTCAAGAGGGAGAGGGGTACCGTCGTCTAGAGGGTCGCCAGAAGAATTATCTGCTTTTCTGTGAAGAGGAGTCCTGGCTTCACTATTTAACCAGGAAGTCTACAGCTCGATTTTCTTGTGTCCGTAAGGGAAATTTACCATCATCTCGGTCCGAGTCTCCAAGGGATGTCGTTGAAGATTGACAATGTGACGGGATGTCTGGTGGTGAGGAATCCGGTGATTACTAATGGCCGGAGACTAGGACAGCCAATCAATCTGAGTATGCCCCACCTTTATGAACTTCCTCTCTTAGGCGCATCATGGCAAGTGGGAAGAGCCCATCTCATCCATCATTACTGCCCAAAGCAAATATATTCCGAACTAAGACATCTTCTTGATTTTGAAACATCAGGTCCTGATAATATCGTTAACCTATGGGAGTCTGAGTCTTTCTTGACGTCTCATAAAGCTCGCATCCCACAGTCTGCCTCTGAGTGAGATGAGACCCCGCACCAAACCTCTCAAGCGCCGTACCAAAGTCACCTTCATCAAGCGCGCAGCAAGTATGGCTGCATCGGCCCAGACCGGGTCGCCGCAACGCTCCGACAGCGACGTGGACGAGGAATTTATCGACGACTTGAGTGATCTGGGAATTGAAGAAATCGAAACGAACAGTACCGTGCCAGAACTTTTCACGGCGTCTCCACCTGTGCGCGATACGCTCCCGACGGCCACTTCGTATGCTCAGGATGCTACGGTGCGGGAGTGTGTCCCGTTGCTGGCTGCCACGGACAGCGACATCGATCAAAACGCCCACGGAGTACCCTCACTGCTCCGTGATAACCACATCAAATTTCTCCAGAAGCAGCTCGGGAGGTTTCCGGCCCCGTATGTGGCTGCCGACGCGAGTCGGCCATGGTTCTTGTATTGGTCTCTCAACGCCCTGGCTCTGCTCGGCTACGACACCGCAGTGTACCGGGAAGACCTGATCAAGACAGTGCGTACAATGCAGAACCCCTCCGGTGGCATCGGCGGCGGTCACGGACAGGACTCTCACCTTGCCACAACCTACGCCGTTGTTCTCGCCCTCGCCATCGTCGGCGGTGAGGATGCATACGAGGTGATAGATAGGAAAGCCATGTGGAAATGGCTCTGCTCTCTCAAGCAACCCAGTGGCGGGATTCAGATGGCCCTGGGCGGAGAGGTAGATGTCAGGTGGGTTGACACCAGCCCCCCCCCTCTTCAGTCCTTTCCCTCTCTCGGTTTGCGCCATAGTTCTGACAGGTCTCTAGGGGAGCATACTGTGCAGC